TATGCTTGTACCTGTTATGCCTGAAGGGCAGGGCTTCCATGGTGTCATGTTCTCCTCTAGAAAAACAAATCTTTCCTAGTTTTAGGCCCAGAGAAAAATCAGTCTTTGTCTTTCTACACAGGAAAGGTTCTTTCTGGTGTACTGAGTCAAATTCTAGGTGTCTCATCCTACTGCCTAATTTAATGGTGGCATTTACCCATGCTCTGCCTGTTCTCGTATACAGGGCATTTAGCAGGGGATAACAGACAGTTGGATCCCTGAAAATAAAATCTTCTGGTTTTCATGTTAGTTGGCATGGGAGTGTTTGTTGTAACAAGGCCATAACACCCTTGGAAGTCTCAGCAGACACCTGAGATATCTCCTGATGCCTCTTCTGTGACTAAAATGGAAAAGATAAGTCCAGGTCTAAGCCTGGGTCTCCTGTGAGACTTCACTGTTAGTTTAAATATATTTTCTTTTCCAGTTTTTACTATGCTGACGTAACTTTTCCTAAATGCTATTAAAATATTAAAAACCAGTAAAAAGAATCAGTAAGGCTATTTGAAGAGTCAAGAGCTATCACATATACTTCAAAATGTAAAATTTCTACAAAGGATACGAGATTCATGGAAAGTTTTTGCAACTTCAGAGAATATTTTCTGGTGCTGCTGGTCTAATGTGGTAAATGGGCAGATTGCTTTTGCTGGTGAAATGTTAACCCTCATGACCAAGAGAGCATCAGAAAAACTATGTTGTTTGTGCTTTTGTGATACACTTGATTTGGTTGCCTTTTAGTTGTCTTACACACTTATAAAATGTGCCCTGCCCTCCCCAGCTTCGCTGTAAGGATTGCTTGGCATTTGGTCTTCACAGTGATGATAAAAGAGGGCACACCCTGGCCCTCCTGGACAGGAGAAATCAGGAATGTAAGGTTGATGTTTTGTTAATATGACTCTGAATATGAATTTGGGTAAACTGCTGAAAAGTAAGCTAGCCCCTGCAATGCACTGACCATTTCATGTAGCAGCCTGAATTCTGCTCTGCTGCTGTTATCCTCAGCTTGCTTCTGGAAAAGCAATACTGCCTGATGCAGTCCAGTTTTGGAAAGAGTTGCTGAAGTCCACTTTAAAAACTGCTACTGAAACAAAGAACAATACACAACCAAATGAAATGTGGTGCATCAGTTAAGTAGAGCAACATGATGAAAACAAATGAAACAATCTGAAAAGTGAGTTGAACAATTACTTCCATTCTTCTTTTCTAAAAATCACTATGTACAGTAGGGTAGCATCTTGAATAGTTAAGTGCCCCTCAAATACAACATATAGGCAAAACAAGAACAGTCCTTCAATATTAAAAGCATTCCTGACATCATGGCGCCTGCATAAGCCAAATTCAAGACTTTTTATTGTCAAGAGGCACTACCGTTACACTACGTTTTCATGTGGATCTTTGCCAACAATCATAAATAAAACACTCATAAACAATTCCTAAAGGCAGTGTGTCAGATGGTATTTCATTAAAAAAAAGTTTGCTACAATATAGTGGAATACCGTAGGCCATGGCCAGTTGGGACTTTCTTTCCCCTGCATATCTCTAGGTGTTTTGTGGATTCCCAAAAGGCTTTTTAGTTAATGTACGCCATGCCTACCAGAAGATCCTTCTTGCTAATGGATGAAAAAATCACAGTTAAAAGGTAGAGAAAATCAGTGCCATTTTCAAGAGATGTCTAATGTGGGAAACCTGTAAAAGCCGTCAGGGCAAAAAAGTTGAAGACAGAAAAAACTGCAAATGAGTTACAGAATGGCGACAAGAAAAAATTCTTGTTAACAACCTGGTGGTTAAATGACAATTGTATCTGCTAAATACGTTTAAACATTAAATCTGTAAGTGACAACATATTCAAATGCACTGGTCCCTGTTCTGTAAATTCTGAAAGTTTCATAAAACAGAAAATGTTGTTTGACACTTGATACTCTTAAAATGTCCGCAGCATGGATGAAATAACTGCACAACCTTTCTCAAACTCAGCAAGAAGCATATGAAATAAAAGATTAATGTCTCTCTGTTTACTAGACCGCTGTGGTGGTCATAGCAATAAACAGTTTTAAAAGGCTTTAACTTCTAAAGTAACCTTCTGTTTCTTCTGCTCTCTGGACTACTCCTGTATTCTCAGCCATCAGCAGCTCACTGCATACATTTGGAAGTGTAAGGCTGAATTACTTTTACAGAAAGCTGCATTTAGTAACTCATTACAAGGCTGACATCACTGAAACAAAAGTTCAGTCATGTAGGGATGTGGCAGAGGTTATCGTGCAGCACATTACTAATATACTGGGGGGAAAGATTATGTCAACTGCCTGCTAGTGTTCACATCCAGGATGCAATCTCCCCAGGGGATAAACACTCTTGGCAAGCACTGAAACCCAGAAATCTTCATTGCAAAGCTGTTTGCAATTTGCAGCCAAAGCTATCCACAAACGCTGGGACTCAGGACTACAGTCCTTGACAGCACACGGCTCCAGACATTTCCATGGGGGAAGTTTAATCTACAAGGATGTAGAAATATAAAACAAAGTATTGCTCAAAGTAACTGTTTGTCAGATCATGTGCCTCTAACTTGGTTTCCAGTGACATTACACAGCTGCAGCCAATGGATTCCAGCCAGGCCCAGCAGTCACTGAGGTTCTTTTTGGTTTAAATTTAGTATCTGAACATGTTTTGCCCATCATTAAAATCGAGAGTAATTGCTCAAAAGTGAACCATAGATGTTACAACTGCAAAGAACTTATTAGGTCACCTAGTCCCATCCTCAGAGCAATGCAGGACTGAAAACACATTGCGACAAATACTGAACAGAGCTGTTTTTGGTTTGTTAGTTTTTTTTTCCTGTTCTTTTTTTTTTTCTTTATTGTACTCATTAATCAGTATATTCAAAAGTTTAAAAAACAACCACAAATGCCAGTGTAAACATGCTTCAGGTATATAAGTAATATAAAGTATTGCACATACAAAAGTCCTATGTTCAGTATCTCCTTATGGTGCTATTTCATCAGAGTAAGAGTTGTGTAGATGATGTGACTGTAATGAGCTAGTTGATCTTATTTCAGAAGCTGCTACGCACAACAATTCAATATTTACAAAAGCTAGAAGCTTACTGTTTTTTTATGGGATGATGATTTTGCCTGGAATGTATAGGATAGAGAGGTGTGCAAATATGGGACAGGCTTGCTTTGTGGTGGTATTTATCTGCTTCTCTCTCTAATCTACAAGGGGTCAGCTCAAACCCTTTTGGGAGAAGGGGTCTGTTAACAGTTTTCTGGGGGACCAGGAAGTGTCCAGGCTTCCCCATCCAGGTGAAGAAGCACCTCCATTTTCTGGGGCATGTGTCTCCTTTCATTAAGACTCATGGGCACACTGCATCTGATTCATAGAATAGAATCATAGAATCATTTAGGCTGGAAGGTACCTTTAGAGGTCATCTAGTCCAACCCCCCTGTGGTGAGCAGGGACAACTCCAACTAGATAAGGTTGCTCAGAGCCCCGTCCAGCCTGACCTTGAATGCCTCCAGGGATGGGGCTTCCACCACCTCTCTGGGCAACCTGTTCCAGTGCTTCACCACCCTCATTGTAAAGAATTTTTTCCTTATGTCAAGTCTAAATCTACCCTCTTTTAGTTTAAAACCATTACGCCTTGTCCTGTCACAGCAGACCCTGCTAAAAGTCTGTCCCCATCTCTCATATAGGCCACCTTCAGGTATTGGAAGGCCGCAATGAGGTCACCTCGGAGCCTTCTCTTCTCCAGGCTGAACAACCCCAACTCTCTCAGCCTGTCTTCAATGGAGAGGTGCTCCAGCCCTTGGATCATTTTCATAAAGATCTTCTTGCAAATTTGCCTTAGACATGAAGATGGAACACACCTGCTCAGGTTTCCTAGCTCCTTCTTGGATTTCTCAGGTCAGTCTGTGTGCAAGAAATGGTAAAACTGTAAAATCTCCTGTTAGATTGACAGAAGTGACAATGTCTCATGGCTACTCCTGTCCCGAAGTCTTAGGAAGCAGAAGGGCAGTTATCTAAAAGGAGCCAAGAAGTTGCAGAATGGATGGAGCCATTTGCCAATTAAGAAGCTGAGATTGATTGGAAAGAAAAGGAGCTCGGGAGAAGGAAAGTGTGGTGTGTGCTTCAAAAAATAAACAATCCCTCCTGAAGTTTACAAAATATAGCTAATTTCACACTCTCAGACAGCACAGGAAGACTCAAGCTTTCAGGCACAAATTTGCACAGATCAGAGCTTAGAGCCCCTGCTGAGATAAGGACCATTTGCTGATAAAAGAGAAAGAATGAAGCCTCTCTTATTCAGAATCCTCGACTCACAAAAAAAAAAAATCCTAAACATATATTTTTAATCTTTACCTCAAAATATCTTTCCTTCTTTTTGTTCATGCTTGGCTGGCTGGCATCCTATTTTTCTGCACAAATACAAATCCTGCCCACCTTCCCTGCAAGACTTTGCTTAAGAAATAATTATATTCAGCCCTAAATTTTGCTGAAATCAACACTTTAAATATGCTGTCAGCTTGTAGACTGTAAAATAAAAAAAAAGAAAAAGGCAGAGATTTCTTTAGGTGAACAGCATTAGGTGAACAAATTAAACACAAGATACAATGGCAGTAACCAGTCCATTTTAAGAGGTCATTTCAACAAAGTAACAGGTCAATGGCAAAGAAACTTTACCCTAGCGCAACGCCCCCCAGCCTTCTCACTATCACCAGTGTGGCTGTGATAATTTAAATCAGTGTTTCACAAATGACTGTATCCTGTGTCAGCTGTACAGGTGTCAGCCATCAGCAATGCCAGGAGAGGGTAACTCATCCCCTGCTCTACACTGTGCATGGATTTAGTTATCTGCGTGTGATACTGCCAGCTCTGGGGTGAAAGAGATACAACATGCACTTGTTTATCATACATCTCACCTTGTAAAATGTTGCACAAATCTTTTGCTTTGCAAAACACCTTGTAGACAAGAAAGATGTGTTCTGTGTGCACAATAGGTTTACTTTTCTATTTACATGCAAGGTATGTACATGATTTCTATTTTTTTATTTTCTTCTCTCAAAATCTAAGTTGATGATTATATCAGAAACTTATCCTGAAAAGGAGGAAAAATAAATAATTGTGCCCCATCTATAACGTTCTTTATAGACTACCTTTGTTTTTCAGAAGTACTTTCACAGTACTAATATATTGCTTGTCTCCCTGAGCCATAATTTCATAAAAGTTCTTATTCTTAGGGAGGTGTCAAAGGTATTCTGCATGATACAGTAGCATTCAGAAGTTTTGTCCTGGTCCATCTTCTAGACAATACAGCAATGCAGGCCTTCTCTCCTTGGGAGATTTGGGCTTGTTCTGGAAGCATCTCAGTATACCACACGTGTTCAAAAGCATCTGCGGAAACATAGACTGACTGGAATATGGGATAAACATTATGTTCAGTGGTGAGTATGTTTGTAAGGCAGTGATAAAGCTGCTTTCTTTGGCAAGGAAGGCCATCATGTGGCATGTTCTCAGAACGATGCATAGATCGGATTATGACACCACGTTACTTGCAGGTACAAAGGAAGACTGGTGGAAGGAATCCTTCATTTAATCCTCATCATGTTTCTAGTCTCAGGCAGGATTCTGACTTGAACTGTCATCTCTTCCTCTATGCATCAGTAGTCTTGTTATTTGTCAGTTGTTCCCTGTCAGCCATGTCATCCTGAGGAGGTCTAGCTCTGTCAAAGAAGCCACACTGCAGGAAACAATCAACAGAAACAAAGGCGTCACGGTAAGACAACCACGGGAAGACGCTCAGCTGCAGTTTGATTCCTCACTCACTCAGCTTGAAAGGTTGGATACAATCTATGGCAGGCTGATAGACTGTGAAGATTTTTTATTTCTATTCAAATCATTCCCTATGAAAAATTAAAGTTTTAGGTGCAAGGCATTGAGTTCCAAAGTACAGCTTTAAAAATTCGAATTATATGAAAGATGACTTTGCAGGAGATGTAAAGCTGGTCTCAATGCTGATACTAACTGACTCGAATGAGGAAACTGCTAATTTCACTTCAGCAAGACACTCATTCAGAGAAGATGTTTAGATTGACAAATAGTAATAATAACAGAGGTGGAATATGTGTTGGGAAATGTGCACAGGACAGTGTTGTGACCTAGACTAAAGATCACTAAAGATGAGATTCCTCTCACCTAACTTTAACTGTCTAAAAGTTACCATCTTGCTTGAAAGGTTGATGGTTATGTAGGCTTCACAAGAGGTCAAAAGAGAGTACCACCAAAAGGTAATTCCTCTCATCGTCCCATGTTTTTGACATAGCTTTTTGCTCTTGTTGTTAACTGACTAGGCAAATCTGGAAAGTTAGCATAGGCTGGACACCTAACCCATAACCTTTAGGCAGCTAAAGGCAGCTAAGCCATATCCTAACTTAAGAAATTATTTTAATTTTTTTTTTAATGAGAACGGAGAAGATGGCTGGAAGTTACCTTGGTTCCCTGTAATATAGTAGTTTCCAGTAACTTTTCTTAAAACTTGTAAAAGGATTGTAAAAACATAAGATACGACATGCTAATATAAAAGGAAATCTTCTAAAAATTAATTCTCAAAGCTGGGAGTGTTGTTACATGCTGACAAAACCTGGAAATTCCTGAAGTATTCAGAGAAAACAAAGTTAGAGTCACTTCTTTTTGAACCTAAACATCCTGAAAAAGAGGATCATAGGTCTTGGGAAACAGAACCAAACTCTGTATGCCCATTTATAACCAGACTTTAATAATAAAGGAGGACTTTGAAAACAAATTCCCTACATAAAGGTCAGTGACACTAGCATGTCAGAAATGCCAAAACAAAAAAGACACATGTGTATTGCTGCTCTGGCTCCAAACTTAAAGATCATAAAATTCCAGCCTCTCTTTTTCGTATCTTTTAGTATCTTCCAGTATCTTTCACTTTTTTTTTAAGGCAACAGTAACAGTAATAATGCAACATACCTTCCATAAAGCTAGGGTCAACATAGCTAGTACCAGTAGTCCAAGAAGTATTGCTAATATTATAACCCATAAAGGAATTACGAAGGAGACATTTGGAGTGGACCAAATGACAGATGTTCTGATCTGAAATGAAAAAAATACATTAAATGAATAAAAATTAAGCAAGTAAAGCAAATCTGACAGTAGAATACAGAGGTTATAACCATTCACTTCAATAGCATTTTGCAGATTAGAAATACATGTTGCTTGGAATTCTCCCATGTTGGCTTCATTTATTCCAAGTTTCTTTCCCCTCATTCATGACAGTTACTAGAAATAGGATTCACACATATGCAAAAGTCTTGTCCTAAAGACATACGAATCATTTTCACTTAATACAGAGTAGCAAAAAATACCCTTCTGTGCAGATGCTTCAAGAAGATTCAAGGAGCAAAGTTCTACTCACATGTATGTTGGTACAGCCTAGACCAGTAAAACTGAGTTATGCTGCATTACTCTGAAACAATGGTTGACTTCAGCCCAAACTCTTAATTCAAACCACAATAGATACCAGCTACATTGTTCTTATTTTAATTTCTGCTGACACATCAGTATACATTTTTTTCCCTATGACTTGCGTTTCACCTAAGCAGTCCAAAAATGAAACTCAAGCAGAGTGCATTCTCCTTGTGATAAAGCCTAACGCACAGTATGATCTTACACTCCTTAAAAGAAGCCAAGCATATAGACTACTACCTAAATGGGAAATAAGCATGAAGTGATCTCACTCATTGTCTGAGGCTCTAGAAAGCAGCAGGTGTGTATAACATGAGTTATCAAAGGTTTTAATTGACTTGGCGAATTTCTCTGTTTAGACCTTCATCTTGACAAAGAATAACAATAACCCTTCTGTATTCCTCCTTCTGGGCTCATTCACATAAGTAACCTCCTCCTCCTCACTCCCCCTTCCATACCTTGTACCAAATCTATTCTACACTCTCAGACTGCACTTGGAAAGCTCCCTGTCAATCGCATTGAGTATTTGCTCTCTCCCTGATGCTCCCAAGTGGAAAGGAATGAGTTTGAGCTTTTCTTAGCTCCTCAGCCACAATTATGCCCCTTCAATTTTAGTTTATTTTGTCAAACTTTCCTCTTTATTGTTAGTCTAGGAAGTTATTTCTCTCTGGAGTTTTCTGTTGGACCTCTCTCATTTACTCCAAGTCTCCCTTAAACAGGTTAAGTATGTGACAGATGGGAGTTATTTTCTTCATGACAAGCTGAAACTGGTTTGCAAAGCAAACGGATTGCACAAACTCTCAAATGATCTTCCTCTTCGGTGCTCGAGGTACAGCTAGGAAAGCTACTCTTCTTAATAAGTTTCTTGGCTACGGCCCAATCCCTGATCTGCACTCATTGCAAATTCTCTTTCTACTTGGTTTTATGCCATTAACTCACTGGTTGATGCACTTGAAATTTAGCACAATGCTAATTTGTTCATTCATAGAACAAGAACCTAAGTTCAAAGACTGGACACAGCTCTGTAGTCCACTTAAAAGTTAATTCCATTTCTGTGCCTCTCACTTTTCTTGAAGATGGCAAATTTCAGCCTTTCTGCAACATCTAGCCCTTTCATCTCTCACTTTTTCTCGTGATCAGCATACTTGCCGAGACTTTTCATTCTGTAAGCACCAGCAGATCTGTCTCCCAGCTACTGTCACACTTAACTGGAAGACACTTTGGAATAGTCCTTTCCACTTACTTCATCTGTGCAGCTACCTGTCCCCTACTCTGACACAGTGCTTAGAATGACAGCAGTCTGGTGAGGTCTACTGATGCGTGTATTTTTTTAAAGTATCCCTCACTGTTATGGGATACAGATCATAGTTGAAATTAAGGACAAACTTTCCATGTGGGATAACACTTGCCTTCTACCAAAGTTTACACTGAGGGTTACACAGAAAATTCTGAGACACTGCCCAGTCCTTCTGGGGCTAGCAATTTAGCATTGATCTGTACCCTGAAGATTAAGTACATGCAGTACTGGCCATACCATCGTTGATCTAACAAACACATTCAGCTAATATACTTCTCTGGTGCAGCTGTAAATATTTATTACTCCAAACGACTTCAAAAAGATAGCACATACAAAGAAAAAACATGCTGGCCAATTAAAGCAAGAAAAAAATTATTTCAAGGCAAACATAATTAGTAAAAAACCTATGAAATCCCAAACCTGGGCCCCAACAGGTGTCTTGCTAGTGTGATCAAGTGATCAACTATGCCACTGTAGGGATACCGTTCCTTTCCCCAGCCTCCTCTTAATGACTACAGAACTTCATAGGCTCTCTCTATCATTAGAATCAGCAAGATCAGTGCTCATTTACTAAGGACAAAATGTTTTTGAATGGCTCTCCTTGTGTCTCAGACTGGTACTGTATCTGGCATTAAAATGCTGGGGCAGATAAAAGGAGAAAAAGGTCATCTGAACTGCCTGCAGAGATTCCTCCCAGAGAAAAACTAGTTAAGGAAAAAGATGAATGCAAGTAAAAGGCTTATCTGGCCAGGAAAATCAGAATGTATGCAGTCATGATGGGCTGCATGAAGCCTGTAGCAAGCAATGAGCTCAGCTGTCCGAGGAAGAAAGCATCTCCCTTCTACTGCTTGAAAATCCTCATGAATGCTGCCCTGAGGCAAGCCTTGAAGACCTCAGCACATACAGCACAAGAGCTGGGAAGTGCTGACGAAAATTCGATAGGCCCCAAGACAGAAAAAACTGAGATTGATTAAAAAAACCCCAACTCATCCACACTGTGCCCTTCCTCTGTTGGCAAACTCTGCAGTACTACATGCAAGAAGTTACAATTTTTTAAATTATTATTTGAAAAGGATCTGACACTGTCAATATACAGCATACGTACCTTACTTATGTAAGGTTTGACCTCCACTACAGTTTGTTTTCTAACACTATCACTTGTCTGAGCACATTGCTCTGGAGCTGGAGCAGTAAAGTGATAGACCACTTACCAAAATCATCTTAAGAAATATTTGTAAACAACAGCGAAAAACAAACCCAAGCAGCGCTTTCTGTCCTCTGAAGTTTGACAAAATGACTGACTTCATTTTACAGTAAGATCAAACCTGAGGGAAGACCCATTTGCTTGCAAAAATTTGATTTAAGCATTTCTGGTATTGATAGCTTGAGCCAAATTCCTAGGTGGCATAATGTGACTGAGATAAATGCAACAGGAAATGGAGTCAGCGTCACTGCTCTGGGCTGGACTGTACAACATCAGCAAACCAGAACAAAAAGATTCTGTCAAGCTGCTGGCCTGCTATGGATGGCTTGGTAGAGGGACAGTCTACTGAAATTGTACATCCTGAATACGGAAATAATCAGAGTGGGCAAGTACTTCTGCAAGAAGGATTTTTTGTTTACAAATTTCTTAAGATAGTATTTGACTGAACCACATCTGTCTCCTTGGGCACCAAGTCCACTTTGATCTAATCTAAGGCACCTACTTCAGCACCACAGGTGCTCTCAGACAGCGATGAACTAAGCTGCTGCCTGGTGTTGTCTAGGATCTGAGTAGCTCATAAGGCTGCCTACTGATTGCACAGGAGCACAGCAACTAGACTCTTAATTAATGTGCTCCAGTTCACTGTTCAAAATTAGGTGGGGTCAATCCAGACCTCAAAGAACTGCTGAAACTAGTGGAAACTGTCTATTTCATTAGGGACGGTAGATTTCACTGGGCTTTGCATAAAGCTGAAAGTAGCGGATCCAACTACAAGTACCTATGGAGCCATTCCATGGCTTCTTTTATGCATCACTTCCTAGATGTTTGCTGCATTAGTGTGTTGTGTTTTCTTTTCTCTTAGGCTGTGAAAACAGTATGAAACCTAGCTCTTCTTTGATACCTTTGGAGCATCTATCAGCATGGATCCAGATAAGGACATCTGGGTCTTCCTGGGGACACGCTGTAACCAATTATGAGTGGTGCAGCAGTGCTCAGCCTTGCTTGTACTGCATGGGTTCATAATCCTCTTTCTCTTCTGTTGTTCTGCCTTTACAGACAGTAGAGTGCAATTTACAGTGTAACTGCAGTAGCTCAGCTGGAGTCTGACAAATGTAGAAATATAAACAAGAAACTAATCTTATAGAAGTGCAGAGCATCATGTTTATAATCCTTAGATTACCAGCAATGAGTAAAACAGACAGCAGAAATTAGGTCTATCCTGTATCAAGCTGCCACATCTCTCTTCTCTTGTAGACGGAATGAAGCCAATGACTAATGAAATATTTGCCTGCTAAAAATATTAAAACCATCTTGTTGCACCCACACCCTTTTGCCATGAATCCTTCTTTGTCTTAGGATTTTGAAAGCAAGGGAAGGGTTGTGCTAAGTGCTTGAGATTTATTCCTTGAGCAGGGGATTATATGTAGTCATCAGTCTTACTCCTGCCTGCATGCATTACCAACACAACATAATGCCCCGGGCTGCCTCCTTTTATAGTCTATACAAAGACTTGCAAGGCTACTAAAGCAATTCTTGGTGAACAGTTTGACACTGCAAGTCCTGAACACCCACAGAGCTGAGGCAGAAGCTGGAGGGGAAGAAAGAAACAAAGCACCCCTTCAGTTTTGCCTGCCTTGTTTAACCATTTCCACAGAAGACTCTCCCTCCACCCCATGCTGTCCACAACAGTTTTACATATGATTTTGATTTAAGACATGTTTGCATTATTCAGCTTGGATTTCTGTTCTTCTCCATGTGGTAGATTTAGTACTGCAGGATCAGAGCCAGGGACCATTTTGGGGGGGATTTATCCGTTTTCATCTAAGGTGGCCAATATGAAGAAGTGGAATTTTTACACAAGTGTTGAATGTTGGCACTGTGCTTTAGGTGCATGTTGGCTTTCCCCTCTGTTCAGGACCAGAAGACTTTCTTATACTGAACACTGAAAACAGTGGTTGTTTCTCTGTCAGGCTGGTGAAAAGCACACCTCACAGACTTAGAATCATAGGATCATTATGGTTGGAAGAGACCTCAAAGATCATCAAGTCCAACCGTATACCAAATGCCAACATGCCCACTAAACCATGTCTTGAAGCACCACATCTAAGCGTTTTTTTAACACCTCCAGGGATGGTGACTCCACCACCTCCCTGGGAAGCCCATTCCAGTGCCTAAGGACTCTTACAGTGAAGAAGTTCTTAATGTCCAGCCTGAACCTCCCCTGGCGCAACTTGAGACCGTCTCCTCTTGTCCTATCAAACTTGAGAGGAACAATCTGACTTTTGGCCTTTCAAAATGCTGAATGTCTCACACTGCTGAATGTCTCACACCTTTTGTATGCAAAGGGATGACAAGGAATGCCATCCAGCTCAAGCACTGAGATGAGGGTGAAGCCAACCAGAGAGTTACAGACAGAGCCTTTGCCTGCTATTGGAAATAAAATCCAAGCTGGTCTTAGCACAACTGCTGTCTGATAGTCTTAACTTCAGAATTGCTGTTGTGGTTCCATGGAAGTCACTTGTTGCTCATGAAAGTATTTCTATAAGGGGGTGGGTTTATTTTCTTTTTTTTAAATGTGCCACAGTCAAACACATTGTAAGTAGATAAAAGAAATATTAGGTTTTTGCCATTGATTTTTGTACAGTTTGGATTTTGCTTCTGATTTTGGTGCTACTCAATGTAGCTTCAAAATTGTCTTTGATTCCACTGAAGGCAGCACAACGCAGAGACGCGCATACATGGTAAGCTGCCGGATCATCGGCAGTCCCTTGCAGATAGGTATGAATTAGGTTTTACTAATGCAAACATCCAGCATCTTTGGTCAGAATTCAGTGCCTGCTAGCAGGATTCTCACAAAGTTTTTTTTTCCCTCTTATCCTTTAAAAAACACACTTTAAAAAATAACTTCTTCATTATTTAATCTGCTACTTTAAGAAACAGCAGCTAAATTGACTATTATTCTAATGCTACTGCTTTTACTGTCTGTGATGACCTTCCTCTAATCTTTAGTCACTTTGCTTACATTGACTGAGAAACAGGAACTCGTTAGTACTCTTACATGCTCCCATTCAACCTTTGCAGCATGATGATCTTGTATGCTCTGAAGAAACACTCAAAACAGAATGTAAAAGCTCCCTTGAGCTTGGAGTCATAATTAATATTGACATTTATGTTTACATTGTACAAATGTTTGTGTAAATATATTTCATAAGGAATATAAGCACATTTAAAATGAAAGTACTATCACCATGTAACAGCTAAAAAAAGAGTTATAAGCCTTACTCTGAAACCAGTTTTACTCACTGTAGGACACTGGTCAAACAGCTTAGACTAAAGGCATCCCCTCTGAAGATCCTATCAAACATTTAACAAAAGCAATCATATTTTATTAAACTCCAAAACTGGCTCAAGAATCATAAATTAACATGGAACAAATTACTGCTTATTCTAACTCTGTACTTTTTATTATGAAAAGTACTTTCACCTTGCATGTGAAATTCATCAAGCAGGATAGTATTATTTACCATAATTATTTACCTCTAAGAAAAATGACAATTTTCTCTTCAATGATACAGCTGTTAGCAAGGAAATCCAAAGAGTTGTACAATATATAGTTGCAAATCCAAGCCTATCAAAATCAATAGAAATACTTTTACCGATGTCAGTGGATTCTGGTTTAAGCTCCACTAAGTTTCAAGCTAATTTTCTGTTTGATGCCATTTTCACTCTAATGTTTTACTATAAAAGATTCAGATTTTCTTACGTTTACATAACCTTTCACATACCTATGTATCATGACCCTCTGTTCAAGATATAGACCTATATTCCATGATGATGGAAACAAAGACCTCAGTGGTCTAAATATGACTACACGACTGTGTAGGTTACTGAGGTATATGGGATTATTTGTGCTATTAAAATTAAATATACGTATTAGCCTGCATAATTGGAACCCAGTACTGTATGAGTTAAATGAAGGGAATATGCTCTGCTCTTTAAGAATATATTATCTTCACTACATAAACTGTGAAGTGTTAGCTGATTATCAGATATATACTTTTGACAATTAATTTTAAAATATTAAAATCTTTATTCCACTTCCACCCTTGCATTGTCTGGAAGAAAACCATAAACTTCCAAATAAATCTTTGGAAACTTTTAAAACACAACCAGTGATCTTTTTCAGAAGGAGCAAAAATACTAAGCATTGCCCAACTTCAAGCAAATATTTCTTCTTGCAAGTGGAACATCAAAAGAGCTTGTGCATATCACATATCAAGCTGTAGAGCTGGCAAGAATCCACTGCCATGTCCAGATATGAAACGACATAAAAGCGCTATCATTTTTCAACATTTTACAGTTGCCATTACAGGCATTTTGCTGTAAATCATCTGCAGCAAATAACAAGCATTGTACTGGCTGGAGTAAGAGAATAAAATGCTTATCTGATCATTTGGTAGATCATCTGACACTTGTTGAGAACAGCAGGCTGTCACCTGGGGTAAAGCACTTCAGCCCAGATGAAGGCACCACTATCAACAGAGTTCTGCACAACATGTGTTTCTGGTATGGAACACATGCTGCAAGAAAATAAAAAGAGCCTGAGTATATCTGTCAGCTTGGAGCCTTTGAACCTTTCTGGATGAATACTGCATTAAGCATCAACCTCTCTGGTGAAATCATGGTTCTCATGATGTTAGAGGTTGGAGTCACCGAAAATACAGAACCAAGATTTCACCTTGTGTCTCTCCAGAGCAAGTATCAATCAACCATTCAATCTGTGTTTGTTCAAAACAAAACTTTAAAGCCTGTATCCTCTAAAATATATTCAAAGTAAGCTGTAAAATGTATTATTATGTTGGTTTTCCATATAAGAAAATATTCTGTTCCCTACTACTACTTCTGAACAGACTGATATGATCTATTTGCACCATGATTTAACTTGGAAAAGTTGGTACTGAGCTTACCTTTTAAAAGAAGGACTGTAAATGTTAAATCTTTATAAAGATGAGAACAATAAGCCTTCAAATTCCAGATTACTCTTATACTAGAATCAAATTTTGCATTCATATTTTACTTATTTCTATCAGTAATGACAAAACAGAGTGAATTTTAACCATGGTATTAGACACCATAAGAAGCAAATTCCTCTAAATTGCTCCCCAAACTCAATTGCTTTGGCACCAGCAAACAATTAAATTGAATTTACCCCTCCAAGATTAATTTTTCATGTAATGATCCAGGGCCATACAAATCTTGCTCTGCAAATAAAGCAAGTACTTTAGTATCTATCTGTCAATCACATCTGTAGGGATTACCAGGTAATTTTGTATCTTGCACCTGATGTGCTGTGAAGTGGAAAGCCTAGGGAGGCATGCAGACATTTCTGAAAACCAGGGTATTAAACAAACTTAATACAGATAAGGGAGAAGTTGCCATAGATAATCCATAAACTTGTGTGAGAGAACTGCTGACTGGGAGAAGAGAGAGATCCCTAAACTTGATTGAAACAAGATTTTGGATTTTGCACAAAAATTTCATCCAGATTTTTTTTTACCCCAAACAAGGTAATTAGACACTTGCTATCACAGTGTTGTGTTCTGCTGGGTGAAAAATCCATCCTGATTGCAATAAAGCAGTCTGCACACTAACGCAACAAGAAATTTTTTAAAAATGGAATTAGTATCATATATCAGCAACTTCCACAGAAAGCAATAAAGGTATTTCCTTTAGGTATTATTTCAGGAATTTACACTAGAAACACAGGAAACACTGATCTCAATATTTTCATCTATAAAAACTTTCACAGCTGTGATCAGAATGACCAAATACATGTGCTTCACACAAAGATATAATTTTCAGTTACTTACTGCTATGCTTCCCTTGGGGAGCTTTGCTGGTTGCACTTTATATGGCATGCTCTTAACTTCGAAGGACACATTGGAAGAAAGAGTATAGAGATCATTCTTTCTCTGAAATTATATAAAAAAAGAAATTATTAGAAACCATGTTTATACTTAAAAGCATTATGAGAAATAAGCAGAGAAAAAAATACAGTGCACTGATTTCCTAAGGCAAAGATGGTTTCTTTTAGTAAAGGGTACAGCAATTCTGGGACCTGTACGTGTCCGTGAGAGGAACACATAAGTACAGCATAAGGGTGAAATACAAAGACTGCATGTTCAAATGGGGAAGAAGGCTTAGATATGCAGAAAGACACTTACAGTTGTTTCTCATATTTCTCTCTGAAATAGGAGACTGGTGAGTTTGAAGCCAGGGGGAGGTTCACAGGATGTCTACATTTTAAAACCTTTTCTCTGCCTACCAAACCTAACAACTAATGTGGGTATCTTGAGAAGATTTCCAACCCAGGCTGGTAGAGCTCCCTGATGGCATCAAAGCAATGGCTGTGCCTTCCATCAAAGAACAACAACAGGAACAAACATCTTTGCAGTTCACTTACACTGTGATTGATTTCCTGTTGCAGTAGAGCTCAAAAAACCCAGAACAACTCACCTTGCTTTTTTACTACATTGTGCAACTGCAATAGGAATGTATAGCAGTCATTGTTTAACTGGCTACCTAGCAAAGTATTTATATAGCTCTCATTAAGCACTTCAACAAACCCAAAGATGTGCAGACAAAACAAAATGTATCTCTCTGTCAGTTCTCTGTTTCATGTATACTTGCTTGTATTTATAAAATATTAGATTAGATCAGATTAGATTAGGCATTACCTTCCCTGGTTCAGAATGACTGAAAACTGTTACATCATATAGATCATGCTGTGACTTTTAATTAGTGCTTTGACCTCATTTGGAAGCCACGTAGGCACTGACACACTACATCTGACCAACTGTGTGTCTCTTTGTGCTGTTCTGACCTTGACAATAATCTCTCACTCTGTGCAAACTGCCTTGAAATGATAGTTAAGTGCTGGTATGTCCACTGGAAAAATATCTGCCTAAATCTATTATGAACTGGCATAAGTGCTGACATGTGAAAGAAACTTAATGGTTGCAACATTTACTACAGTGGATACAAATATTTTCCACACACATTTGAATCCTACTGAGCTCTTGGTATCATCGGTATCTAACTGGAGTTAATCTTGAAGGCTAAATACATCAGGTATCAAGTAAAACTTTCAGTTCACTTTGAATTTGACATGTTTCAATTTCACTGAATGTTCTTTGGTTACAGACAGATTCTGCACTCAAACTATGTCCTCTTTTTCCTTTGTTTTTATCCCAAGGAAGGATGGCTGACTGGTTACCATGATTTTCTGGAAGTCAACAAACCGGTTTCTAATTCCATCTCTGCAACTGATATCTTGGGTGACACTACATGCAACTTATCTTGTATATCCCATCCCATGTAAAGTTTGGGTAATGATATAGATCTCCTTTGAAAGTGCTTTGATATGCTCTGAAAAGCATTAGATAGTTAAGTGCTAATATATCCACTGGAATCCAGAGGGCTAGGAGTTGTGACTATCATTATATCCCTTTACATTAGACTCCTTGAGGTAAACAATTTTAATCTTTTGTATAATAGTATTTTGAAGCCCTTAATAATTTTTGCTACCTGTCTCAATCCTTTCCAAAATATGATGACCAGAATTCAATACAGTATTTGACTACTGATTTACAGAAAGACGGAGCCTTCTAAGTAAAGCAATCTTTCATTTTGGCACCAGCTTCTTACAGTCCAGTGTATTTGGAATGTCACTGTCACTTCCTAAAATCCCTTTGGCAAAACTCTTTCTCCTTCCTTCTACTTCTCGCACGTTTAGGAGTTCTGCTCCACTGACAAGACTCAGTTCCTATGTGATTACACAACATCTTTTCCTCCCTGCTAGGTGGTGTTTTTCTCTGGAATTACTTGTTGCAGCAAAGCGTAAACCCTCTCTAAGAATTGCTTCTCCCCTTTCAGCTGTTTTGTGGAGCAAAGACTGAGGTAAGAAGACCCCATGATAATTTTGACTACTGTTTCTTTCCTTCGCTGATGGAGAAAGGTTTGTTTGTGAAAATTACCTGAAGTAAGCATAACCTAAACCTGGGAGCCAACTTGGATGCAGTTGGATGACCATGGCTCAACTCAAAGTTTTCACAGAACTGCTGAGATTCGAAGGCACCTCTGGAGATCGCCTACTCCAACCACATACTCAGAGCAGGGTCAACTACAGCAGTATGCTCAGGGCTATCTCCAGTTGGGTTTTGCATATCTCCAAGAATGGAGACTCCACAAACTCTAGGAGCAACCTATTCCAGTGTTTGACTACCCTCACAAGTAAAAGTTTTTTCTTATGTTTAAATGAAGTTTCCTGTATTTCAATTTGTGCTTCTTCCCTCTTGTCCTGTTACTGGATATCATTAAGAATAGCCTGGCTCTGTCTTCTTTACTCCCTCCTATCAGATATTTATACACACTGATAAGATCCTGCCTGAGCCTTCTCTTCTCCAGACTGAACAGTCCCATCTCTCTGAGCCTCCTTGTATATCAGATGCTCCAAGTCCTTAATCATCATTGTGGCCCTTGGCTGGACTTGCTCCAGGATGTCCGTGTCTCACTTGTCCCAGGGAGCCCAGGACTGGACACAGCATTCCAGATCTGTCTCACCAGCGCCGAGTAGAGAGGAAGAGTCACCTCCCTTGACCTGCTGGCAACACTATTCCTCATGCTGCCCAAGAGACTGTCAACTTTCTTTGCTGTAAGGGCACACACAGCGGGCTCATGTTCAACTTGGTGTCCACCAGGACCCCACGATCCTTTGCTAGAACCCTGCCTTCCAGCTGCTTGGCCCCCAGCCTGTACTGGTGCATAGGGTTATTCCTCCTGTCGTACAGGACTTTGCATTTCCCTTTGTCACACTTCATGAAATTCCTGTCAACCCACTTCTCCAGCCTGTCGAGGTCCCTCTGCAGGGCAGTACAACGATCTGGTGTATCAACCACTCCTTCCACTTTTCTATCATCTGCAAACGCTGAAAGTGTGCTCTGTCCCATTATCCAAGTCATTAATGATGTTAAACAGTACTGGCCCCAGTATTGACCCCTGGAGTACACCATTAGTGACAGACCTCCAGCTGGACTTCATGCTTCTGATCACAACATTTTAAGCCTGGCAGTTCAGTCAGTTTTGAATCCACTTCTCTGTCTACGTATCTTCATTCATTTTGACAGTGAAAAAATTTGCTAAAGTCAAGATAAAAAACAATGACTGCTTTCCCCTCATCCACCAAGACAACCCTTTTTTATCTCATCACAGAAGGCTATCAGGTTGGTCAAGCATGATTTCCCCTTCATAAATCCACACCAACAAATCCAAATCACCTTCTTGTCCTTCAGATGTTTGCAAATGACTTCCAGGTTTTTTTCTCCATCACCTTCTCAGGGATTGCAATGAGGCTGACTGTCCTGTAGTTCTCTGGATCCTCCTTCTTGAAGGTAGGTGTGACATTTATTTCTTCCAGTCCTCAGGAACTTCCTGCAATCACCATGACCTTTCAAAGATAATGGAGAGTGATCTTGCATTGACACTGGCCAGCTTAATCAGCACTTGTAGGTGTATGCCATCAGGTCCCTTGGACTTTTGTATGTCCAACCCAATATTCCTCCACTGAAGGTAAATGTTGATTGCTGCAGGTTTTCTCTCTGGTTGCAGAGGTTCAGATTACTGTATGCAGATTTTACCAGTAAAGACCAAAGTGAAGGAGGCATCGAGCAACTCAGCTTTTTCCACGTCTTATTAAGCAGAAGATCCTTATTTTCCCTAGCCTTCCTTTTGCTGCTGATATAGAAGCCTCCTTGATGCCCTTGAAGTCCCTTGCTAGGCTCAGTTCCTGGTAGGCTTTTACTTTCCTAACTCTGTCCCTGCATGCTCAGATACTGTCTCCATATTCCCCACCCAGCTCCTGCACTGGGTCAACTGACTCTGCTTTCACGTCTTTTATGCTTCCTTTCTATGTTTGAGTTTTACCAGGAGCTCCTTGTTCATCCATGCAGGCTTCCTGCCACCTTTCCTTGACTTTGTGCATGTCAGGATGGACAGTTCTTGAGCTTAAAGGAGGTGATCCTGAAGAATCACTAGTTCTCCTGGACTCCTCGTTTCTCCAGGATCATCTTCCATGGTGTTCTTCAAGTAGATCCCTGAAAAGGCTGAAGGCTGCTCTCCTGAGGTCCAGGGTTGTAGTTCTGGTATTTGCCTCATCCATTCTGTCTTCTTTTTTAAAAAATAGCTTTCTCTTCAAATATGTGAGTGCTTACTGGTGACATGAAGCCAGCACATTGCCTTCTGGAACTCATTTGGCTATGCCATAATTTTGTTCTTTTAAAATATTGAGAGCAGCTGAATGTTTATTATCAGAACATTTAACCTCTCTTTGGGACTTTCATTAGGAATGAGCAATATGAAGAAAACTGCCTCAAATGACTAATAGGAATAGTCAAATCAGCTCCTTAACAAGATGGCATCTAATGAAAGGGAAATACCTTTTCTATCAACAGTGTTTGAAATGAAAAATTAGACTGATTTAATATTGGACTTTGCAAATAATTATTTTTTATACACTTTCATGGTGCTGAACATCTATGAGATGGTCTTCAGAAAAATAATTTTTCCTTATTACATTAACTATTTTCCATTTTCAAACTCAAGCCATTCTTCAACTCTTGTTCTACACCACTAGACTTCTCACACAAAGTCCCAGCATGTGTCCATAGTTATGCAAAGATTTGCATTCAGAAAAAAGCCTGAAAAAAGCCTTATGTTTTCAATTCTAAGCGATTCATATTAAGCAGGATTCTGGTTATGATTTATATGATTGATAAAAGTAATCTGTAATGGAGAAAGCAGGATATGTTATATTATTAAAGAAGCAGATATTAGACATGCAGCCTGATTGGCTAAGGTACAGTAAAGGCATTGACTTTCTTGAAACATCACTTAAAGGAAACACAGCACTCCTGGA